CTTTCCCTTTCCTTCTCTGAAGCATGCCCATACTTCTGCTTCCCCTCTTTCTTGAATCCATCAGTGAGGGGCATTTCTCCAGCCTCGGGTGATAGTAGGCGAACCGGCAGCTGAGGCCCCACTTCTTCCTCCCTCCCTGCCCTCCCCTTCCCCAGTCCTCACCAGGGGCATGGCCTCCTCTGTCCGGTGATCGTACCAGTTGCTCCAGGGCTGTTTGCTCCCACTTTTCTGTTGCGGTTGACGACACATGACAAACCTAACCGCACGAAACCAAACCCAGATTTTTCTCAAGAGATGTCCTTCTGGGGAACAAATAAGCTTCCTGCCCCCTTCCTCAGAATGCTTGGGTGTTATAAATTGCTCCTATCTGGATTCACGTAGTTTGATTCTGCCCTGTCATTTGCCACTGGTTTCTTTCTCGCTTGCTTAAAATGGTTTTCAAATCGTGGCATTATCTTCCACAAGTCCTCCAAAACTATTGGGTTAACCTTAGCTAGAAGAAAAGCACCGTTTCTAACTGTATTTTTTTCCTGTAATTTTCTCCTTTTCTTTATCGTTTTACTTCTACCTTTTAATATCTGGCTTTAAACAAATTCATATAGGAATTCCCACAATTGAAAACCAAACTTAGGTTCAACTGGGAAGCCTGGTAACAGTTAACCTGAGACATTTCTCTGACCATTCTTCCCAACCCCTACTAACACCCATTGACTCTGCTCTATACCTTTTATGCTGTGTGTCCCTGACTCCAAACAGATATTAATAAAAGGATAGATACTCTGATCTCTGGCACAAAATACATTGTCTGGTGTCCAGCACAAGAAAATTAGCCACCCTTAATTCCCTCTCTTTCCCATTAAAGAAAAAGAATTTTCTTTCTTCAAGTTGCAGGATCACAGAGTGAAATAGGTAGGATGTCAAAGGTGCCCAAGACCTCCTCCCCATGTGTCTGTCTCGCCTTCTCCTCAAATGCTGTGGGCGCTTGATTCAGTCTGAGCATTCAGGCAGGAAGACGGAGATGGACTTCATGAGGGGGTTGGTCTGGGGGCCTTTGAAACCACAGCAGAGACCCCAATCAATTATGATAACATCATACAACTCCTTTTAACCAGCACCCGAGCCCGCCTCTCTAAAATCTGGGATGGGTGTTTGTGCGGTTAGCTGTTTGCAAGTGGCCATTTTATGACAGAAAATGACCAGGTGGTGTTAACCCTTTCCTTACCTCTGAGGATAACGGCAAATCTGCCTGCATAAATTTCTATAGCATTTGGGGCCTGACCTGAGGAGAGAGGGTGGAGGGAGTTTGGTTTTAGAAAAAGAGAAAGGGTTAAATACTGCACTGAGAAACTTCATGGACAGATTTGTTAAAATGATACGATATGTCAGACTGGTGATATATCTTTGAAATACTAAAACAAAAATTGTCTTGATGCTACTTCTAGAGATAAATTTTAAGAAAAACCAGTTGTAGAGAGAAACAAACTAAAACCTGCATTTGGTGGGGAAATTTTTGCAGTATTTTCCAAGTTTAACAAAATTAATATTTCAAAGTCCAGTTTTGAAATACTCTATATAAGTGAATAGGATTTTTGAAAGAAAAAAAAAAGAAGCCTACTCGGTGTCTATTGTGGATATATATGTATACCAGTATATATCTCTATACATACGTGTATATATATATATATGTGTGTGTGTGTATATATATATGTATCCAACTTTACTAAACAATATACTGTACATATACACCCACCCTTAAACTTGTGCATACTGTATATATATATATATAAAATGGCCACATTTCTTGCGTGTGTCTGTCCCCAGAAGGGTGGACTGATTGTTTTTGGATGTCTGCAGCTGTTACCTTGAAGGATGCAATTTCATCTTTCATTTATTTTTCCCCATCTAGACTGTATCAGGATAAACTGTAACTCCAGTAAGTTTTCCCTCAAGTTTCATTTTGTTCTTTAAAAAAAAAAAGAAAACTGACTTTATTTTGTTTACTGTTTTATGAGCTGTTTTTTATTTGAATTATTTTATTTTTTGACAGTGGAGTTGGGGGGAACTGGGGTTGACAAGCTGAAGGGCTGGGGTGCTGGTTTGGGCTGAGTGTGGCCCAGGGTGTGGTTTCGGAATTGCGGCAGGTCCTCTCTTCTTTCCTTGCATTTGTTCTATATGCGGAAAAGGAGGAAAGGGTACCTGGATAATGACATAGTTTGAAAATGAATTGAAATGGTAATTTGTTGTTTTGGGAAAAAAGCTCTCAGGGGTGGACAAAAAGCATTAGAGCAACCAGAATGCACTTCTCCACTACCAAAAGCTTCAGAAAATGAAAGCAAAGTTCGTGACCCACAAGGTGGCTGCCAACTCTGACATTTGTTTCTTGGCATTTATCGCTGTAGGTTTTTTTTTTTTTTTTCCCCTAAGGAGGGTGGGCAAAGCATTGCTCTTGGTAATAATGCAACATTTTAACCAAAGACTTGGGATACATTCTAGCTCTTCTGAATAAAGAATGGCAGAATATTATTTTTACCTTATTCCATTCAAATATTCTACCTCTTGAGGAAGGGTCTTAAGGAGGAACAGGCTGAATACTACTCACGCATTTCTTCCTCTGTCTCAGAAGTGCACATTAACTGGAGTCATGAAGTAGGGCAATAGGAGGAGAAAGAGGAAGGATGGGCATGAGG